CTCTTCTGCTCATCCATTGACTACTCAACTTAGCTAAGACTCCTTTTTCGGAGCCAACCTTTGATCCTGACTTGCCATTGAATACTGTTCCTACAGTGAGATCTGTTTCCGGCGTCTAGAATCGTCGCAATGGAGGAAGAGAAAGGAGCTCTGGTGCAGGGCCTGATCGATGCGGTTAACGAGATAGCTTCAATCACGGATTACAGATGTACGGTGAAGAAGCAGTACTGTAATCTAACAAGGAGATTGAAGCTATTGATACCAATGTTCGAGGAAATTCGAGAGGCCAAGGAGCCGATTCCAGAAGATACGTTGAAAGCTCTGGTCTCGCTCAAGGATTATCTGGTCTCTGCGAAGGAGGTGCTCAGATTTGGCAGCGAAGGCAGCAAGATTTATCTGGTGTGTGAGTATTATTCTGTTTTCAGATTTGCATTTATCTGTTGAGTGTGTTTCCCTGTGTCCTTACGGTGTTGTTTAGATTTTGTTGCTTTTGGATCTGTTTGGTTGCTGAGAAAATGGTATTTTCCCTTCCTCACCTGTGGAGTGAAGGAAGCAGCAAAATATTCCTCGCGATATTGATGTTATGGCAAAGAATGAGAAGAACTCTTCTAGTTAAATAGTCATAACACTCGCCGGTTGGGCACAAAGATTGCAATAAGATTCTGGTTGCATTTTTTCTTTCTCTTGGCTGTTTTCTATGTCTGAATTAGTGTTAGAATCTAAAATGTTTAAATCAATAATAGTATAACTAATAAGTTTATGGAGTTTTTCCTTGATTTTGATTTTGATTTTGATTTTTTTTTTAATTCCAAGGGAGTTATGTGAATTAATAACTCAAGCACCTTAAGTGGATATTGATTTGCAAGTTTGTGTCTAGACTAAAGTAGAATCTTTGAACTAATCCCAGGATGATTTTTTTTTTTTAACATCCACATGAGTTTATCCCTTTATTTTTGTGGACCATGAACATGGTGAGGATTCTACTATCCGAATCATTTTATGAGATTACCTTGTGGATCTGCTTCCACTGGTGCTGCCATTCTGATTATATCATGGTGTATTAAAGCGGAATTTCTTTGTCGATTTAAAATTTTCTTATTCTCATCTCTGGTTCCATGGGTGTATCTGAGGGATAAACTCTCTAACTTGTGTTGTCATAGACTTATAGTATGTGGAATTTGTAAGGGTAATTGTGTGCCTGTAAGAAGAAGTCATCTGGGTGTGCATTTTGGAAACTCTAAATAGAAAAGAGAGTCTTATAAAATTGGAGAAGATTCCAATTTACTATTGATCATGTAGGCTTTTAAGAAGATTCCAATTCTATTATATATGATCATGTAGGCTTCGGAGAAGATTCGCCCTTCCAAAGCAATCACTGAGGGTGTTTGCTGCATAAAACTATGAAAGGTTGTGGTTCATCTAGGTCTTGTCTTTTGGTCATGGTGCTTTGATTCTTTGATGTTTGTACTTTGTACTGCTTTTCAAGAAAAATGAACTTAAAACTGAGAATGAGTAGTCTTGCAGTATGCCAGTATTTCTGTATCATGTACGACAATTAACTTTGGCTTTGGTATTTACACTATCAAGTGGTGGGTAAACAATTCTGTCATAATGTTCTCCTGAGCACCATTACTTTAGAAACAGGCAAACCTTGGATGTGGCTGGCTTCACGTCAGAAGACTTTGCAAGTAAAGGAATTTGTAGGGGATGTTGTCTTGGTTCTAAAGCCACAGTTTCCATGACTTTTGTTATGAAATGGTACTCACTCTAGGTAGAAAATAATGTCTATACACCCATTTTTAGTTGAAAAGGCATATAACCAAGATCTGAAGTTCTGAGGATAAAACTCTGATTATCATGTTACTCTCATACTTGGGCAACCATGTTGATGTTATGTGGAGCCTACTCCTTTTACTCATCAAAACTGAAGCACTATAATATTCGATCATACTTAAGGCATGAACTTGGTTTTACAATTGATATTCAAGTTCTCTGAACTATGTTACAGTTAGATGATGATGATTTATTATACTAAGGCCTAATAATGATGATGCTGGTGATGCTCTATTATATTCAAGTTCTCTGAACTTGGTTTTAATTTTTGATCTCATGGCCTGTTAGTCATCTGCATACTAACCATTTTCATTCTGCTAAAGGTCCTTGAGAGGGAGCAGATTACGCATAAATTTCATGAAGTGACCGCTCAATTAGAACAAGCTTTGAGTGGAATTTCCTATCAGAATCTTGATATATCTGATGAAGTAAAAGAACAGGTACAGACTTCTCATGAATGACATTTTGTTTCATTTTTTTAGACAAAAGAAAATGAAAGAAAGGTATAATAGATCTTTCATTCTTCTCTTGAATCATGGACACACAACAAAATGAGCTTAAGGAAACCAAGGACTTCTTCAGTCTTTTTTATTTTTTATTATTATTATTTTTTTGAACTGCAAGGACTTTTTCAGTCTTCTCAACTAGCACATGATTTCAAAATCTTAAGATGATATATTTTGGTGAAGGTCATAAACTTTAAAGTGGGTTGAAGATGGCACTTTACAATTAAATCTGGTTCTTTCTTAATAGGCAGTTTAAGAAATAAGAAGGGTGTAAGAAGACAAAAATATTTATAATTGAAATGTATAATATTGCCATGTGTAGGTTGAGCTTGTTCTTGCACAATTCAGAAGAGCCAAAGGAAGGGCCGAGATTCCTGATGAGGAGCTATATGAAGATCTAGTATCTCTTTACGATAAAAGCACTGATGCAGCAACAGATCCACCTGTACTAAAGAGATTAGCTGAAAAATTGCAATTAATGGAGATATCAGAGCTCGCACAAGAATCACTAGCTCTGCATGAGATGGTTTCTGCCACTGGTGGGGATCCTGAGGAGAGCATTGAGAAGATGTCAAACTTGTTGAAAAAAATTAAGGATTATGTGCAAACGGAATATCCTGATCTGGATACTGTTGCTAGAGAAATGACTTATCCTCCAAGTACTGGTGGACAAGTTACCTTAAACGGGAAACACAAGGCCCCAGCTATACCAGATGATTTCCGCTGTCCGATATCTCTGGAGTTGATGAAGGATCCAGTCATTGTTTCAACAGGGCAGGTATATACAATAATACATAATGGTTTTTCTGCTCATGATAGCCCCTATGGTTGGACTAGCGTTTTTCTCTCTTATTTATTTATTTTATCATGTATGGTTTCAATGACTCTAGAGTTTGATTTCATTCTTCTGTCCTTTCTCTTCTTAATTGACATCCAAATGTTGTATGTGTTTGGAGGACACTTTTTTTAGGGTATTGACCTGGTCTGTTTCATTGTGTCGTGTTACATCAGAATCAGGAAGGTTTAAAATGGTCTGGAATTGGTTTTCTCATTGCGCCCTCTTCATTTGTCATTTTGCATACATGAAAGATTGAACTACTCGTCCACACACTAATTTTGTATCAAATAATGGCATGTGTACCATTTATGCAGGGAAATAAAATCATCTTTCTTCCTATTGTTAACAGATTTTATTTTCATTTACTGTAGACTTATGAGCGTTCCTGCATTGAGAAATGGCTGGAAGCAGGACATGGGACATGTCCAAAGACACAACAAACGCTCACAAGCAAAACTCTTACTGCCAATTATGCTTTGCGAAGTCTCATAGCTCAATGGTGTGAGGCAAATGGAATTGAACCCCCGAAAAGACCCAGCAGTTCTCGACCTAGTAAAACAACTTCTGCCTGCTCACCTGCTGAACGCACCATGATTGAGACTGTCCTTCGCAAGCTCTCATCTGCTAACCCAGAAGATCAACGATCAGCTGCTGGTGAAATCCGACTTCTTGCCAAACGCAATGCAGATAATCGTGTCGCAATCGCTGAAGCTGGTGCAATCCCTCTTCTGGTGGGTCTCCTTTCAACACCTGACTCACGAACTCAAGAGCATGCTGTAACTGCACTTCTAAACCTATCCATATGTGAAGATAACAAAGGGAGTATCATATGCTCTGGAGCAGTTCCTGGTATAGTTCAAGTGCTCAAGAAAGGGAGCATGGAAGCCAGAGAGAATGCAGCAGCCACTCTTTTCAGTCTTTCAGTGGTGGATGAAAATAAGGTGACAATTGGTGCTTCAGGAGCCATCCCACCTCTAGTTACACTGCTAAGTGAGGGCACACAAAGGGGGAAAAAAGATGCTGCAACAGCACTCTTCAACTTGTGCATCTATCAAGGGAACAAGGGTAAGGCAGTCAGAGCTGGAGTTATTCCAACACTAATGCATCTATTGACAGAACCAGGAGGTGGAATGGTGGATGAGGCACTGGCCATATTAGCAATACTTGCTAGCCACCCTGAAGGGAAGATAGCCATTGGAGCAGCAGGGGCAGTGCCAGTTTTGGTAGATGTCATTGGAAATGGATCTCCTAGGAATAAAGAAAATGCAACCGCAGTTTTGGTGCACCTTTGTTCCGGAGATCAACAACACATGGCAGAAGCTCAGAACTTAGGAGTGATGGGTCCTTTGGTTGACCTGGCACAAAACGGTACAGACAGGGGTAAGAGGAAGGCTACTCAATTGCTTGAGCGTATGAGTAGGTTTATTGAGCAACAAAATTTGGCTCAAGCACAAGCTGAGTCCCAAGCTCAGTCTCAGCCCCAGTCAGAGTCTCAGACCCTGCAGCCATAGCCATCCTCCACAGCAAATGCTGACAATAGCTGAGGTTTTCTTTATTACGTTTTTGTTTCTTTCGTCATCTTATTTCCTTCTTTTGTTTTTTTGGCATTGAAGGATGCAGCTTTTGCTTTAGAAGACGAGGTGGAAGATCACCTTATCAATTCTAAAGTTATTCATTTGATTTGTGTGGATGGATATATAATTATCGGAACCATCAAAAGGCTTGAAGAAAGAGAAGGAAGAGAAAAGGGTCAAAGTTGTACCCCAGATTTATGATCTGAAGTTGATCCACTATAGCATGTATGACTGCATTCATCCTCTGTTTTTAGTGGAGAGATGTTCCCTGTATTCAAAACAGTCTATGACATGAGATTTACTGGTATATAAATATTATATATCATCCTACTACTTTCTTTCATACAGCTTCAAAACCATGATTCCTCATTTTCATCAAGTGAAGATGAATATGATTGATGTACCATTTGCAAAGCGCGAATACTTGTTAGGCCAGAAAGCATGAATATGGTTCACTACATGTATGTCCGATGGTGATGAAAAAATTCCTAGAGCTTGGTGCATTATCCCCTTGTACAAACATAAATGAGGTTGAAAACTTGAGCAATACAACATCAGCTTGATTTATGGGGCAGCAATTCTTAATACCTGAGTAAACCTTTTTCAGAATTAAGACTTAAAAATGAGAGGTAAATTAGGCTTTCAAATTTTATATTGGAGTTTCAAGATATGAACAAATGTGGCAAATTGTTTGGGCAGTTTCGCAATCCAACACTGTTGAAGTCCTTAGCTGCTCCTACACCTGAAAATCCCGAGGTTGTTTCCTCGGGGAAAACACTCTGACGCTTAAGTCAGCAATACTCAATATTCTAGAGAGGGATGCTCTCAAGGAGTAATTGCAAAGAGAGAAGCGTAAAGATTAATTACCTTCATTGTTGGTAGTTGGGGGGTATTTATAGCCCCAAATGCTGACATGCATCCCTACATGCAAGTAACTCATTGGCCCACGTGGTGCTGCTCACGTGGGTATGTCTCCTCCTCTTGGGCCTGTGTGTGCATAGTTGGGCCTGTTATATGTGGCCTGACGTGGGCGTTGGGCCTAATCCCAATGTGCGTGCCACATACTCCTTCATGGATTTCTCTCACAGCATATTCAGCTTCATAAGGGGTGAGACAGCGTAATAGGGGCATGGAGGCTGCCCGCTTGTAAAGCTGATTATCTATTAAAGTAAAATGGGCCGCCCTGCGTTTAATCAACTTGGCAGCAGACGGATCTTCAGGTAGCTCACCACTTTGCAGATAATTTATGAGCGGGGTGGTCTAGCTCGGTGCAGAGGGATCTATGCTTAGCAGCTAACACTCGACTGTGGAATCAGTGTAGCTCGGTGCGTCGAGTATCTCGATGATTGTCAATCTCTGAGGGTTAAGGTCTTGCGAGGAGGCCAACTTCGACAACTCGTCAGCTCGGTGGTTATCTGCTCTTGGTATTTTATCAATTTGGAAAAGGACAAATATTGACTTCAATCTGTTGACCACAGAGGCATAACGACCGAGCTGGGGATCCCTGATTTCACAACTGCCATTCACCTGGCCCACAATGAGTTGAGAGTCACTGAAAACCTGAACGCTTTGTACCTTCAGCTCGGACGCCAGCTTCAGTCCGTAAATGAGGGCTTCATATTCTACAGCGTTATTGGTCGTCTGGAACTTAAACCTCAACGCGTGCTCAGACTTAAAGCCATCTGGGCCTAGTAACACAGCCCCAGCACCCGACCCTTCAATGTTAGCTGCTCCATCAACATACAAAACCCAGACTGGGTGTTCGGGTGCTTTTTCTTCCTTAGTTGCCGAGATGCACTCCACTAGAAAGTCCGCAACGGCCTGGCCTTTTATGGTTGTGCGCGGCTGAAATTTCAGGTCATACTCACTCAGCTCGACGCTCCACCCAATAAGCCGACCAGAGAGTTTAGGTTTCTGCAGTATTTTTCTCAATGGTAAATCAGTATAAACAATAATCTGGTGCGATTGGAAGTAAGCCCTCAATTTACGAGCTGTGTAAACTAGGGCAAAAGCAGCCTTTTCTGCTAGTGGGTAATTCTGCTCGGCACCTTGCAAAACCTTGCTCACATAGCAGATGGGCTTCTGGTTTTTATTCTCCTCCCTGAGCAGAACTGAGCTCACTGCCTCTTCTGTAACCCCCAGGTACATGCATAAACTCTCCCCTTCCGCAGGCTTGGATAGCAGGGGTGCTGATGCTAGGTATTGTTTGAGCTCGTCAAATGCACTCTGACACTCATCAGTCCATTGAAAGTTTTTGGGCTCTCGCAGGGCTTTGAAGAATGGGAGGCATCTTTCTGCCGACCTGGCTATGAATCTATGCAGCGCAGCTACGCGACCTATCAGGCGCTGCACATCCTTTACAGTCTTGGGAGGTTCCATCTGCTGAACGGCCAGGACCTTCTCTGGTTTCACTTCAATTCCTTTCTTGGATACCATGTACCTTAGGAATTTCCCTGATTCTACAGCGAACGTGCACTTCAGGGGGTTCAGCTTCATTTGGGCTTGGCGCAAATTTTGAAAGGTCTCACTCAGGTCGTCTATATGATCCTCAGCTCGCACGCTGGTGACTATCATATCCTCCACATATACCTCTATGTTTCTGCCAATCTGGAGCTTAAAGATGATTTGCACCAATTTTTGATATGTAGCGCCAGCATTCTTCAAGCCAAACGGCATCATCACATAGCAGTAGATTGCATCACCGGCGTAAAAAGCTGTTTTCTCCTGGTCGTCTAACAGCAACTGAACCTGATGATAACCTGAGCTAGCGTCAAGGAAACTCATCCGCTCATGCCCGGCTGCCCGCTCTACTAATTTCTCCACATTTGGCAAGGGATGAGGGTCTTTTGGACACGCCTCATTTAGGTTAGTGAAGTCAATACACATCCTCCACTTGCCATTTGGTTTTTTGACGAGCACGGGGTTAGATACCCACTCAGAGTACTCCACCCTTCTAATGAAGCCTGCCTGCAACAGCTTTTTGTATCTCTTCGTCTATGACAGCTTGCTTCTCAGGGCCAAAAAGGCGACGCTTCTGTACTACCGGCCTTTTGGTGGGGTCCGTGCTGAGTTTATGCACTGTCAACTCTGCCGGGATGCCAGGCATTTCATCTATAGTCCATGCAAACACATCTTGATTGACCCTCAAAAACTCCAGAAGCTCTGCTCGTTCTTCTTTTGTGAGCTTGGTGCCGATCTTAACTGTCCTTTTCGGCATATCAAGGTTTAAAGGAACGGTCTCTACTGGCTCTACCGGTTCAGTCTTCTGCTCAACACCCTCTGGTCGATGCTCAATGTCTGATATGCTCATTGTTTGCTGACCGGGCTGAGTTGGCCTGTGCTTCTCAGAACCTGCCGGTGTTGCAGCGAGCTCAACCTTCTTGAACATATCTTGATAGCAGGCTCTAGCCATCTTTTGGTTTCCTTTAAGTACTCCTACCCCCTGAGGAGTTGGGAATTTCATACAAAGATGGGGTTGAGAGATAATGGCCTTCAGCTCGCATAGGGTGGCTCTTCCCAATATAGCATTGAAAGCTGATTCCATCTTGACGACCAGAAAGGTGACAAAAGCCATCCTGAAGCGTGGTTCCGAGCCCACATAGATGGGCAGAGTAATGACTCCTTCTACCGAGACGGGTTGATTATTGAACCCATAGATGGGCCCTTCATATTTTTGCAGTGAGCTTGGGTTTAGCTGCATCTTCTGAAAGCAACCCCAATAAAGGATATCTGGCGAGCTACCCGTATCAACAAAGACCTTGTTGACGTTATGATTGCCTATATGGACCGTCGCCACAAAGGGATCTGCATGAAGCATCATAACGTTGGGTTCCCCGTCTGCTCGCTTATAATCGGTCGGGCTGAATGTGATGGCTGCATTCTCCCACTCCGCCTCCTCGAACAGCCGTTTCAAAGGCCTGTTTTTGTTGACGGTCATCACCTGCCGGGCATATGCCTTGCGGGCTCGGGCGCTTTGGCCTCTAGAGTGAACACCACCTGATATCATATTTATTGTGCCAGATGGCGGGGGTATTCCACCATACCCAACCCCTCTGTGGTCCTTTTGATTCTGTGCAGGTGTTTTCTGTCCTTGCCCACGCCTATTGAGCGGGCGTCCCCTGTATGCTATGTTCGGCTCGGAAGAGTATGGACCTGCCTAGTAAGAATTTGGATTGTTACCGAGTTGATATCCAGGTGCTTGAGATCGACCGTACTCTTGTACAAAGTGGGTCTGGGTGGGTTGCCGAGCAAAAGGCTTCTGCACGTACCCCTTCAATTTCCCGTTGCGAGCCAAGAATTCGAGCTCGTCCTTCAGACTCTGACAGTCTTCTGTGTTATGGCCGTAGACACGGTGATAGTCGCAGTATTTGCTTCTGTCAGCTCGTGAAGAATCGTGCGTTTGTGGAGGGGGTCTCTTGACCCAGTGCTGTATATGGGCCAATATCTGGGATCATGACGAGCTCAGGGGGATATAGCTGTCATATTTTGGATAAGAAGGCGGTTTCCCTCTCTGCTCGCCAGCCTTCTGTTTCTTCTTGTCATCCCTGTTTTCAGACTGCTTGAGCTCTTTTCCTTGCTTGTCATAAGCTCGTCTCTTAGAAGATTGAAAATCCTCGGACAATATGAAGCTTGCCGACCTGTCATTTACTTCATTCCATGACTTGGGTGGATTCTCCAGCAGGTCGTCCAAAAACCGGCCAGGCTTCAAACCATGCAACAAGGCAGATAACCAGATGGTATCGGGGACGTTATCAATGTCTAAAGTAGCTTTGTTGAATCGTTGCATGTAGTCCCTCAAAGATTCTCCCTCTTTCTGATGAACCTGCATTAGTTCGGTTGCTGTACGTTTAATCTCCCTTTGGCTCGCAAATTTGTTGGAGAATAGCTTGGCGAGCTGGGAATATGAGTCTATGGAATGTCGAGGAAGTTTGTGATACCATCTCCTGGCTATTGACTTGAGTGTTGCTGGGAACACTTTGCACATCATGGCATCATTGGCATTCTGGATTCTCATGATGGCTTGATAAGTATGCAGATGTTCATCAGGGTCGCCCGAGCCATCATATGTCTCCAGGTGGGGAATTTTGAATTCCTCTTGATACGGCTCTGCTGTGATGGATATGTTTAAAGGAGCACTATCCAAATCAAGAGTCTGCTGGTGCGACCTGGGGCTTTTCAGCTCGTCTATAGATTTCTGTACGTCCCTTAACTGTCTTTCCAGGTCTGCATTTTTCCTCATCAATTCTTCACTATGTTTGGACGAGCTAGGCTCGTTATTTAGCCTCCCACTTCCCCTTGGCCTGGTCTGCACTACTATGTTGCTTAGAGCGGGGGAGTTTCGAGTCGCAACAACCGCAGCTGGTTGTGCATCCCTGTTCAACAAAGGAATCAGGGGATCGTCAGGGATCAGGCGGGCAAGGATTTTACCCATCGCCATCTCGAGAATTCTAGTTCTTTCTTCGAGCTCGGTTGTCCGAGCAGGTTCTGTTGACCTTTCAGGTCGTTCATGCTGTGAATTGTATGGTCTAGAAGGTTTTGGTCTTGTTCCTGTTGGAACTTGGAACTGTTCAGGCTGGGTTGCATACCCAGTTGGTGTTCTTTCATCATAATCTGTTTCGCTTAGGTGATCCTGTTCCGCTCCCCCAACAAAAAGGTTTCTGGGCAGTGGTCTAAAATCATTTAAGCCGAGTTCAGGCAGTTGAACGTCCTCCTGCTCGTCCATTTCATTTCTTGGAGGGTGACCTCCTGTAAAAGTGCGAACCATTTTGTCCTTCAACAAGTCAAGCTATGCAACTTCTTGTTCAGGTTCCCACAGACGGCGCCAAATGTTTGGGCAGCTTCACAATCCAACACTATTGAAGTCCTTAGCTGCTCCTACACCTGAAAATCCCGAGGTTGTTTCCTCGGGGAAAACACTCCGATGCTCAAGTCAGCAATACTCAATATTCTAGAGATGGATGCTCTCAAGGAGTAATTGCAGAGAGAGAAGCGTAGAGATTAATTACCTTCATTGTTGGTAGTTGGGGGTATTTATAGCCCCAAATGCTAACATGCATCCCTACATGCAAGTAACTCATTGGCCCACGTGGTGCTGCTCACGTGGGTATGTCTCCTCATCTTGGGCCTGTGTGTGCATAGTTGGGCCTGTTATATGTGGCCCGACGTGGGCGTTGGGCCTAATCCCAACACAAATGATTGAAGAAAATTTGAGGAAATTAAATCGAATTACTAGGTTTTTGGGTGGGTTTGTAGTTTGGACGTTGTGGTTAGCTACTTTAGAAAATGAAAAAAAGATCAATTCTTGGTTTCTGTTTGGAAACAACTTTTTGCCACTCTCTTCGAGGAGCTTCTTCACACATGGGACCGCTTTGCCGTTGATCGGACCGTCCTAAGTCCTAACCAAGCGCCCAGCTCAATATACATGTGTGGACCACTCTCCATATATGCTTCTCCTCTTGTCCTTTCCTACATAATTCTACTTTGCATTTTTTAATCAAATTAATAATTTAATAATTCAAAAAGTGTTTCATTTATAACAATTTTAAAATTTTAAGTTAAAAGTTCTAAAATAAAATATTTAAAAAATATATACATATAAGAAGAGATTTTAAAAAAAAGAGAACAATTTGTGTTCTTATTCTATCATAAGATAAAAATGTTTGAAAATTCTTAAAAAGAAATGTACATAAAATAAAATTTAAACTAACTATATGAAATTTTAATGAAATGATTTAACGGTTAAAATTTTAAAATTAAAAATCTCAAATTTAACTCTTGAATCAAATGAGAAATAATTTGAGAATAAATAAAACTTATCCACTCTTGTATAATTCATTATCAAATATATTAAAAAAACCTAACTATATGAAAAAAAGCCAATATGAGGTTTAAAGGGAAAAATGAAGGTCGGACTCAAACCCAAACCCTAAATCATTACATTTCAAAACCCAAAACAAACACAAAATTCTAACTCTCTCTCGCCTTTCATATAAAAAGGTGAAAAAGGAAAAGCAAAAATGCAGGCTCGCTAGCTAGTTTTGCTCCATTAAACATTAAAGCCATAAAAATTTGAACAACAAGAAATTTAACATAGATTGTATAGAGTGAAAGAGGGAAGAGAGTCTAAAAAGCGAAAGGTGGAATCCAACACTTCACGCCTATCAATGTGGGTCATCAACATGACGAAAAGATTGAAGAAATTCAAGAAATTAAACACTAGAGATCTGATCCATTTAGCTTGGAATTCTGCACCCCTGTCCCTCCTTTGATTGCTATTAATCGGCGTACTTTTTTTTTTTTTTTTTTTTTTTCATTCAGATTTTTGTTTATCAATGTAACTGTTTTTGCTTTCCAATTTCCATAGACCCATAGCGGATTATCATGAAGAGAGAGAGATTGCCTTTTTTGATCG